GTGTGTGTGTGTGTGTGTGTGTGTGTGTGTGTGCATGTGTGCGTGTGTGTGTTAGGGGAAGGGGCTCTAATCTGAGTTTTCATTTCAAGCATTCTTTCCCCAAATAAACCATTTCCTACTGAAAATTTTGTGCTGTGATCTCCCATGCATCTATGACAGGCAGCTGTAACACAGAACCACCACACTAGAATCAGTGACCTGCCAGAGCAGCCCCAAATGACAGATTATAGCCAAAGAACCAGCCACCCAATAAGCTCTTGTCCTTTGACCCCTGTTGTAGTTTGAATAGGAAATGCCCCACCCTCCTATCCATCCATCCCCAAAGGCTCGTATGTCTTAACTCGGTCTCCAGATGGTGCTGTTTGGGAAGGTTATAGAGCCTTAGGAAGTGGAGCTATTCTACAAGTGCTATCACTGGGACCAGGCTCAAACCACCTCCTCTTCCTTCTCTTACTGGAGCCTGTGCACACCTGAAATGTCATCAACCAACCTCATCTTACAGTCACACCTTCTACGCCATGATGGACTCTATCACCTCTGGAACTATAAACCAAAGACAATCCTTTTCTGTCCTAAAGTTGCTTTTTTTTCCCAAGATATTCTATCATAATAATAGGAGAGTAATTAACATAACATTTTGAATTTTTAAAAATTCTCTAGGAGAATTAGAGCTGGGATAGTGGTATAGCACTATCCCACAGGCTGTATCCCTCAGCCTGTGCTCAGAGCAGGTACCTATATACAACACTATGCTCATGACATTTGAGGTTCCGATTATCACCACGAGGCTGACAGCTCAAGGGCTGCTTTCATTCTTCTTAGGGACTGATGTGAAGATATCCTTACAGTGGTAGCCATCAAAGGATGGCATTCACAACCCAGAAATACAGGGGGTAGCTGCTAGCAACCAGATCATGTGTATCCTTAAAGGGCCCTTTACAGGGAAGCCCACTCTGTAGTCAGCCAAAGATCCTGATTTTCTACAACCACTGACTTTGGTCAGTTATTTCAAGGGACATCTCAAGGAAGCTAAACAATACAATACTATAACAATTAAAGAATAAACAACCTCTTCCAGATAAGACAAAATACCAATGGCATTTGGTTACAGAAGCATTTATGTATTCACTGTTTTTAAGTATCTTACTTAGTATAACTCTGTGGTCTCAGTCTTGACTATTATGTACAGCTCTGAATTCATTTAAATGTCACTATATTATATTCCAGGCGTTAGGTTAAGCCCATCATACCACAGTACCAAGATTATTTCCCTTACAACCCAAGACTCATCTGATTTAAAACAAAACAAAGACAAAAATGTTCCAAAGCTTTTAAAAACTTATTATGAGGAAGGATTGTTAGTATTCTGTCTAAACTCCACCTCCACAGTTATCTGGCAACAGCCGGTATGCTCCGCCCCACAGTTACCTGGCAACAGCCAGGTAGGCGTGCCCACTATAAAAGGGGCTGCTTGCCTCCTCCTCTCTCTCTTACCTCTCTCTTGCCTCTAGCTTCTCCTTGCCCTTCCTCCCTTCCCTTCCCCCTCTCTCCACTTCTCTCCTCTCTCTCTCCTCTTTCTCCACCATCTTCTCCCATTTCTCTCCCTACCTTTGCCCTCTGCCCTGAATAAAGCCCTCCCCTTTGGAACTGTTTGGTCTGGTGTTGTCTGTTCCAAACTGCGCGCCGAAGTCTAACAAGGATAACTTGGACGTCTTTAACTCTCACATAACACAAATATAATGCCTCTGAACAGTGGTGGGGTTCCACTGAATGTGAAGCTTATAGGCGAGGCTTTTACAAAGCTATAGGGGAAATCAACACACTGTTTCTGGTATGTGAGGCACTGAGACAGAATTCTTCTTTTAATCAGGCATTCTTTGCTCTTGTCGTGAAGTCAATCACTGCACTGTACTCTGTAGCCAGACTTTGACTACTTTGTGGGTCCTTTTTCCTTCCCCTCCTTCTCCACCCTTTCAACCCCCCAACATTAGAAAGGAAAGAACACCACACACACACACTGTCCTCAACGTAACTCTTCTTCCTATGCCACACTCCACAGCACAGAGCTGCAACTGCTTGACACTGTCCCCGGCACTTGAACTGTTCCCTCATTAAGCCCCGCTCACCGTAATTGCTTTAACTTGCATCATCCAATGATGGTGCAGTACTGTTGAGCATTGTGTAAAATGCCTGACCCAAACCTGTGTCCACTGTCTTACTGGGTGGGCTATATGACTCTCATGTCATTCTTCACATGTTATGGATATAAATCCTTTATTAGAAACATCCTATTTTGCAAACAGTTTCTCTTAATGTAGTTGTTCTTCATTTTCTTAACTAAGAAATCTATGTAACTGATAGTTATAAAGACTGTCTTACATTTTTACACTTAGATATTCATTTGTTGTAAAAGAGTCCTCACCTCATTAGTTACCTTGGAACTTCTAATGAAAATAATCAACCACTATATGGACTATTTCTGGATTCTGTCTGGTTCCTCTGATTTATATAAGCATCCTGACTGCAGTGGCAGCTTAGTCTTGAGACTTGATG